GGCAGGAGGTTCTATACGCACATGCCTGAGACTGAAAAGTCAACTACTAAGAAATTAGTTTGTTTTCAAGCTCTCTTCAGGGGGAGTGTTAAAGAGCTTGAAGGTACCGCACAGGAAGAAATCTACAAATGTGCCTTCCTGGGTTTTAAAAGAGTTATTTTTTGCATTTGTGTGGTGGCACAGTACCACCCTAGGTCAGGGGATCTGTGACCTTGGGGAATTTTTAAGTAGAAGCCGTTAGTGGCAGGGTAAGTCTTTTGCAGGCTCCCACTTTCTGTACTCAAAGTACCAGAGCAGGGAACAGTCTTGACATATTTGGATTAGTATATTGAGAATGATGACTGTTTATCAATAGAACTTAGTACACTCTTGTTGAAGGAGGCCGAGGCAGGGACTGTCAAATCATAAAAGTATAAGTGTGGATGGGCGGGTGGTACTGGCAAGAGGGCTCAGGCTTCTTCAACAATGGACTGATAGTCCAGGAAAGAGGATTACTTTGTCAGTGTTGTCTCCATCTCCATCTATCAAATACTAGGAAGAGCATCTCTGGATATTTTCTGGTTAACCTGATAAAGAGAACTTTAAATTAGGTCCTAAGGAGGATGGTGACAAAAATTCATCCAGTGTGCATTTCTGCTCAAGTAATGAAGACAAGAGAAAGAGTCTAATTTCTGAATAAGGGACTAGAAATCAAAACTGTATTACAATACCAAAAAAAAAAAAAAAAAAAGCAACAGGGCTCTCTGCAAAATATCTTCAGTGCCTTTATATGAATGTGAGGAGTATGGGGAACAAGCAAGATCAACTGGAAGTCATGGCATATGAAGAAAATTATGATTTCTCTGTAATACCAATGGCTTGGTTGGACAGCTCCCTTAACTGGAATACCAGCATTGAGAGAGATGGTTTGTTCTAAAAGGGTAGGTATGGGGAAAAAGGAGCAAGTGTTGCACTTGTCATCAAGAATGTAGAAATTTGCTCCGAGGTTCAAGAGGAAGTCAGACCTACTGAGAGTCTCTGGGTTACCATAAAAAGGGAAAAAATAGTAGCAATGTAGTGGTGCATGTCTGTTGTAGAGCACCAGATCAGGAAGAGGAAGTAGATGAGTCATTCTACAATCAGGTAACAAGATTAGCTAACACACGTGACAGAAAAATATAACATTCTTAGTATGTGTAGGGGACAACTTTCTGAATCAGGAAACAAGAAGTAAGTCATCTATTTTGGATCTGATTTTGACCAACAAGGATGACTTGATTGCAAACATGAAGAGGATTGGAACTTGGGAGGAAACTATGATCTGATGGAATTCAAGATCCCTTGGAAAGGAGGACATAAAAACCACAAAACAAGGACCCTAGACTTCAGAAAGGCAACCAACCCAGAGAAATAATAGTTAAAGTCCCATGGGAAGTCCAGTTCAGAAGAAACAAAGTCAAAGGAGGCTAACATGTCTTAAAAGATGGAATGCCAGAGGCCCAACTTCAAGTTAGTTCAATACAGGGGAAAGATAAGTAGAGCCACAGAAGGCAATGTGGCTGTGCAATGAGCTATTTAGCTATTTACAAATCAAAAGGGGTACATAAAAGAAATGAAAATAGGGCATTTCACCAAGGAACTATACATGGGAATAGTGCAAGTGTATAGAGACAAACTTGGTGAAGACAAGGCAAGGAATGTTGGAGACAACAAGAAGAGGTTCTTTAAAATATGTTAGACAAAAAAGAAAGATCAAGAATGGTGTGGGTCTGCTACTCAATGGAGAAAGGTAATCTGGTAACAGAAGATGATATGAGGGCAGAGCTGCGCAATGCCTACTTTGTTTCAGTCTTCTCACAAAAAATAACTCATGACCAGAAAACTAGCAGTTACCATAGATCAGTGTTTCTCAAACTGTGCTCTGCGGAGCCCCAGAGCTCTGCGAGATATCTCCAGGGGCTACACGAGGTTGACAAACTGGAAACATCGATAGGTACAACACATACAATCAGTGGACTGCTGGGGCTCCGCATAAATTTTTGGAACGAGGTGTACCGGTAGTTCGGAATAGGAAGCCTAATCCGAACTACCTAGTCCGTGCCGCGTGTAGTTGCGGGCACGGATTCCGAACTAGCGGACATTTAAAAATGGCGGCGCCCGGCAATATGCAAATGAAGCCCGGGAAATTCAAATCCCGGGCTTCATTTGCAACTCCGGTTGCCTACATTAACCACCCTAGTTCGAACTAGGGTGGTAGTGTAGACATACCCTAGGATACCAGAACAGCCTCTGTCCTTAGGGAGCT